GGGCGAGTTCGTGCACGACGACGTGTGGGCGATCGTGAACAACCCCGACGTGCGGCCCGGCGCCCCGCTCCGCTGGGGCATCTTCACCAACGACTTCTGGGGCAAGGGCATGGCCGAGAACACCAGCCACAAGTCCTACCGGCCGCTCTGCGTCCTCACCTTCAAGTGAGTCCCTCACCTCGCGCTCGCTGCCGCCGCCTCCCCCTACCCTCCACCGCACCCCGGGCAGGGAGAAGTTGCAGGAGTGGCTCAGGGGACGTTTCTTTTCTGCCACCCTGACCCTGTACACCTCCCTCCTTCCCGGGCTGTCCTGGGCACTTTGCTCCTCGTGAATCTGGGCTCCCGGAGCCGTTCGGGCGGCGCGGACTGGGGAGTTGAGACCGAGTTTCTCAAGTGTCTGCGCTCTCGCGGGCTTCTCTCTCTGGGGGCAGGGCTGGGACCCAGCTGGTGGAAGCACCTCTGCGCCCCTTGACCCCTGCCCGCTGCTGACCAAGTGCCGCGAGCGCAGACCGGTGGGTTTCGGAGGGGTGGCGGTGGTGCGATGCTTCTGAAACGGGAATTTCTCCGAGGCTGTTGAGCAGCTTTGCAGATGAGGAGTCTATCAGCCCCTTAGGGGTTGCTTTCGGGGGAGATGAGGCGGGAGCCTTAAGCTTCCAGGGCAGCGAGGGTTTAGGGGAGGAGGCGGCAGGGGAAAAGAAGATCCTCCCCCACCCCCCATACACCCGCTGCGCACCCTTGGCTGCTCCCCGAGCCTCTCCAGCCCGTCAGACCCCTCCGGATCGAGACTCGATAAGGTGCAAGAGCGAACGGCGCAGAAGCCTGGGATTCTCCGGGCATCCTGGGGTCCTCACCGAAATAGTTTTTTACAACCTCAGAGTCATGATTCAGCATTTCTGGTGTGAATAAGTGTAAAGGGAAGGGAGAACACGCCAGGTTTTTGTAGGGTGGAGTATTTTCATGAATTCAGAAGCGAGCTCGTTTTAGAGGAGAGAAGGACTCAGTTGAGGGAAGCGCTGTCTGCTGCATCGTGAGCTTGACTCAACCCCTGATCATGTGGTTCAGCATTTAACCTATTTTAGTGCCCTGGACAAAACTGTAGCGATACATTGGTTCAGTGTTACTAGCGTTTTAAGCCTTTTCCAATGGGTGTAATAGGAGAACCTGTGTTTATGGTAATATCACTTGAGACTGGGTTGGCAGCTTAAAAACCCCGGTCTGGCCTGGAGGCCTGTGTCTCTTGACAGGTGGCTCTGATGACTTAGAAAAGGAGACCATAGCAGTTGGCAGCAATTCATGGGCTTTTGACTTAATTCTTTCAGTGAAAGTTTAATGTTTTTAAGAGGGTGAGAAAATTACACATTTGACTCTAAAGAGCACATTCAGTCTTAGAGCCATTTGTCCTCTTGGAAAGTTGTCCTGGTTTTCTACTGAAAGCTAATGTCAGCCTGGAGTGAGTTGCTCAGTTTTTCAAATGTTTCTCACAGTTTCTTTCTATGGCGTGAGATAATGATTTCACTTCTAGATTGACCTGCTTTTTTGTTTCTTACAGTGAGGATTGGTTTATTTAAGGTATGGAAGCTCACACCATGAGGTGTCCTGGAGTAATAATAGCCCTGGTCACTGGTCGGAGCGTTTACCATTTTAAAAGCTCAGGGTCAAATGCCTGTGCCTACTTGTAAAAGAGTAGAGTGTTTTCATTTCTCGACTTTCTAAACATTTTTTTTTGCTTCATGTTGGAGATTGGGGGTAGAGGAGGGAAGAGGGGAGGAAGGGAGATGGCAAGAGGGTGAGGCCACTGAGGAAGAGGAAAATGAGCAGAGTTGGCGGAACAGGGGATGGAGCAAAGGAGAAAGCGGGTTGGGTGCATGAGAGGGGGGCAGAGGAACTCTTCCCTTGTGGTCATTGATTGTAAAAAAGCAACCTGGTGTCTAAGATGCATTACCCTTTGCGTATTTTATATTGCTGTCTATGAAACATACACTTTTTGCTTGGGTGGGGAGGAAGAATGAGTTACAAATCTAGAGAGCAGCATAGAACTAATTGGAAAGAGGTTCTCCTTCCTTTTCAGAAAGAGAACATTAACTAGTCTTTCTTTCTGTGCTCACATGCATCGATTTAAGTAAGACCAGACAGCTTTTACTACGTAGTCACCTGGAGTGAAATTGCATCTTCTAGTGCAATAGCATAGTAAGGCTGGAGGACATTGATGACTTAGACCCACGTACCTGTAAAGGATGCTGCAAAGAGAGACAGAAGATCGCATCTTGTTAACTGTCCAGCATGAACCAAGCATTGGCCTAGACATTTTACATAGATTATATCTTTATAACTTTTATATTTATTTTAGATTCTTGCTGTGTCACCCAGGCTGGAGTGCAGTGGTATGATCAGAGCTCACAGAAACCTTGAACCCATGGACTCAAGTGATCCTCCTGCCTCAGCCTCCGTAGTAGCTGAGATTATAGGCATATGCCACCATGCCTGGCCAATTTTAAGTTTCTTTTCTTTTTTTTTTTTTTGTAGAGATGTGGTCTCCCTATATTGCCCACTGTGGTCTTGAACTCCTGCCTCAAGTGATCCTTCCACCTCAGCCTCCCAGATTGCTGGTGTTATAGGCATGAGCTGCTGCACCTGGCCAATTTTTATTTTTGATAGTGAAAACAGAATTCAAGTAGCTCTCTAAATATGTGCAGATCATTTTAATTGTATTTTAAATTATGCTTGTTTGAGCAAAATCTTTTGAGATTTCCAATCCATTAAGAAAACTCTTTGTATTGAGATAATTGTATATTCCCATCTAGTTGTAGGTAATAATATAGCAATCTCTTTTATCCTTTCTCCTTTTCCCCCAATACTAACACCTTGTATAACTATCGTACAGCATCACAACCAGAAAATTGACAATAGAGCTTTTATTCCGATTTCACCAGTTTTACATGTACTTTTGGAAATTTATTTATTTTGGTAAGTGTATATTTAGTTCTCTGCAGTTTCATCATGTGTGTAGATTTCTGAGACCACCACCACAGTAGAGAACAGGACAATTCCATTGGGAGGATATCTCCTGATTCCCCATCACAGCCATACACACCTTATTCGTAATCCTCTCACCCTTATTCATAACAACCACTAATCTAGTCTCCATCTCCGTAATCTTGTCATTTCAGCCATATTTATAAGTAGAATTGTATAACCTGAGAGCTCCCGGGATGGTGTTTTTCCCCCACTGGGCGTGTCTTCATTAGGCATTCCTTTCCATGGCTGACTACTATTCCATTGTGTGGATATACCACAGTTGTGTTTAAACCATTCGGGGAGGACATCTGAGTTGTTTCCAGATTTTGTCTATTATAAATAGAGCTGCTATAAAAATTCATTTACAGACTTTTGAGCAAATGTACATTTTTTATGTCTCTGGGATCAATGCCCAGGAGTGCAATTGCTGGGTCATATGGTGGTCTCATAGTTAGTTTTTATGAAGCTGCCAAACTATGTCCCAGACATTCCTACCAACAGTGTATGAGTAATTCAGCCTCTCTGTCTCCTTGTTAGCACTTCATATTGTTGCAGTTTTTTGTTGTAACTATTCTGGTAAATGTTTGGTGGCATCTCATTGTGGTTTTAATTTCCATTTCTCTAATGTCTGGTGATGTGAATGGAACATCTTTTCACATGCCTATTTGTCCTCTGTATATCCTCTTTGGGTGATTGTACCTTTGTAAATTAGTTCATTTCCTAAGTGGAGTTTTTTTCTTTGTTTTTTCAAAGGTTGTGTTTGGAAGTTCTCTCTATTTTCCTGGTGTGTGTCTCTGGGTTGGTGAATACTTTCTCCCACCCTGTAGCTTGTCTTTTTGTCTTTCCTAGTGTAAAACTCAAACCTATTTTTTATTAAAAGTAAGCTTATTATCTTTGATTCATTGAATATATGTCACACATGCTGAGAGCTAGAAATCTCTGTGAGAAGAAATATAATTGACATATGCATAATGCCTTTTGCTATGAAGGTACTGGATTATATTCTGATAAATAATAAAGGTACTTGCTTAGGTAATAAAGATTCTAATCACAATTTTTCTCGAATAAGAAATGAGCTAAAATTGAAATGAGGAAGGAGTTATCAGAACATGTATTTTTACTATTTTTGTGGAGGGGGGAGGGCTAGCAACAGAACATGAGCTTACCAAGATGTGATGGATTTGTAGGTAGCATGTCTAAGCTAAGTTGGAACTGTGTTTTTTAGAATTCCCTTGGCAGGTTGGTCTGTGTTAGAACTGGCCACAAAAGCAATTTCTGTGAGATTTGGAAGGTAGAATTGATGTGGCCATTATCACTCTGGGAAGGTGTGTAGATTATGGCTGTTGTCACGGAAGTGCTAGTGAATCCATCTGCTGGTGGTTTGCAGCAGCGGCCAGGGCTGCCTGCATCTCTCCTGCTCTCCAGTCTCCTCCTTCAGCTACTTGGAATCATGATGCAGGTGTGTGTGCAGCTTTGCAAGGAAGAGCAATGGATTTTTAGCAAGCTACTCTCATGATTAAGGTTGGAGCCTTAGGGGCAGTGGGAAATAGACATGTATTCTGGCTCATCCTTGTGGGTTCCACCTCCTCCTGGCCTTCCCCTACTTAAGTTCCATTTATCCCCCTTTCCAGAATGGCTGCCCTGCCTTTTGACTTACGTTGTAGACACAGAGACATCAGACTTCAGTGGGCTGTTCAGTCAGGTCCCCCAGTTGTGAAAGTTGTAGATTAAATCCCCACAGTAAATCCCTTCCTCTGACTCACTCCTGGTGGTTCTGCTTCTCTAGTCAAACCCTAACTGGTGCAGATGGACGTTTCTTTGCGTTCCTTGAAATGAATTTAGAATTCTACTGAACTTCTGTTTCAAATCAAATCCCATATCCAGTCTTTGCATACGATCATGCCCAAGAGCCGGCAGGAATATTTTTGGGCAATAGTGGAGCACAATCCACACATCTGTGAATCTGTAGCAGTAACCTTTTTAAAGTTTGCTTCTTTATTCCTCACTGGGCATGACCTGTTTGCAACTCTGAAATCAGGAAGAATGCTTAAGCTACTCTGTAGACACTTAATTGACCCAGAACCAAACCCCATGATGCCCATTAACTACTCCCCTGCTTGAAAAATGGCCTTGATTGATTTAGTTTAGTT